CGTTCAGCGCTCTGAGCCGCTGCCTTTCCCGGTTGTCTCCCCATTTTCGCCGTGGTCCGATTTGCCTTGCGTCCAGGCTTTTTTCTTCCAGGGCGCCGGTTCAGGCTCCGGCTCGAGCTCCCTCACTCAGGTGAGATGAGATGGAAAGCCTTCACTGATCAACTCGGGAGTCCCTTGTGTGTGCCTTTTTTTTTTATCGCATCATGTTTTCAGCTCTCTCTCCTGTCTTTCCAGCTGAAGGACCAATCACCATGGTAGCGTTGACATCCCGGCCTTGTCTCTCTTCTGAGTTCTTACCGTCCCTTGGCCCCGCTCGCCGAGGAACGCATGCTGAAGAGAATTCTCACGAGATATTTTTTTGGCTTCCTGTCTTATCTACTAACGAAACTCAAGCCCTCTCGCTTCCGCCTTCCCCCACGGCACGGCACGGCGGCGGCGGCGGCCTCGGCACCTGATAGACGTGGTACTGCTTGAGAGGAGTGAGGGGAGTTAGGGCCTGAGATGGATCCCCTGTTGTAAGCCTGAGAGCCGCCTCCATCCAGCCTCCAACGATGGACCACAGCTTGCTCTCGAGTCATCAAAGGTTCCAGTGGCCTACAGCTACGTGCCCAAGGTACCTCTACAGGTGCTCCGTCGCGGTACAGGAAGCCTGACTGGATTGAGTCTGGGACGGACGATCACCGGGCTTCCGCCTCCACTGGGAACCTATCCAACTGGAGCCTATTCCGCTGGAGGCCATCCATCCCACGCTTCCACTAACACAACCCACTGTTTCCACTTTGTTGCAGCTCGCAACTCCTCGCCATCAGGTCAAGTCACATTTCTGCGGCCCTGCAAACCCAACCAAGCCAACCTGGAGCTGGAACCTACTGCAACGCAAGCCATCAGCGCCCAGCCTTCTTCTTCCAGAAACACCAGCCAGCCTCTTGCATTTGTCTTTACCCATTTCTCTTCTAGTGCGGGATATCCGCGATACCTTGGGGTAAACCAATTGGTCAGCTGGCTCTTGCATCCCACTCACGCCCTGTTATTGTTTTGTCTCGGCAAATCCAGGCTCGTAGTCGATTGGAGGGTCGAAAAGGTGTTCCGCTGGGAGATGGATGGCCGCCTGGAAGGTGGCGGCACAAACAATCAAGATCTCGCACCGAGGCCACCCGCCACCAACCCGGCCTTCCTGTAAGCCCCTACAGCCCCTGTAAGCAACCCCCTCCACATGCCCCGTAACCCCTGTAAACCTCCCCCATGATCCAGCCCTCCAATACATGGTGAGCTCACACGACATGACATGGACCAGTAACGGAAGACATAACACCCAAACGCCCAAATGTCAATACAGCGTCAACATCAATAACCCAATGAACCCGTCATCACTGAACCTCTTCCCGCCATTGAGCGCCACGTACAGAATCAACTCAGCCCAAAGTGTAAGCCGCATTCCCTCTGCTTCGTCTCTCTCATGCCTGCCGCGATTGACTCGTTTGCGCAATATCCCATTCTGTCGTCGCATGGTTTCCGTGTTGGGCCTTTTTCAGAACTGGCCTGATACAGGCTCGGGTGCAATTTCACATGGCAAGTTCGCTGCCCTGCGCGTCCGCCGCGCCGGTAACCAACGCATTTCCTCCTCCGGCTCGCCTCCTTCAACTCAGCTTCGTATGATGTTGTAGCATTAGACTACGTACTGTCTACAGTGCAGTCAATCCTTCTCGCTCCTTTTCCGCATTGCTGGCGATGAGATCCCGAGCCCTACGTCACCATCTGGCCATCGCGGCCATCTCTCTCTCGGCCTCTCCTTCACACGCCCCCCTCCTCGCTGTTCCTTCGGTCTTCGTTCGGTTGCTCATCCAACAAAAAGTCGAATCATGTTTGCTTGCACCTGTGCCTTGCATTTCTTTTTCTTCCGTTCCCCTCGTGGCACTCTCACGCTGCCTAATGCACCCCGTATCCCGTACGTTGAATGGATCAAACAGCTGGGGCCGCATACAGGGTCGACCCGACTCGGTCCTATCGACTGAGCTAAATGACTTGCATGCTCCGAATCTAACCATACTCCCCATCATGCTTCCCATACATTTTGAGATCCCTACCTGTTATTCCTCCCATCTCCCGCGTCCGCATCCCGATTCTCTCCGGCAACCTATCCTCACAGCCGTCCCGGTGGTCCAGCACTTAGACCAGGCATTGCCGGCTTCGAGCATCCCCTACCCTACACCAATCCCCTCAGCTCGTCCTGCTCCTTGTCATCATCCCACGTCCTACATCTCATGATCCCCTTGCCATGTCACCGGCAGTTTCCAACCCCCGTTCATATCCTCATGCAATTCTCACCCGTTGCAGGTCCCGTTGCTCCGGCGTCCATCCTTCACCCCTCATGAATCCGTGTACATACGTCTCCCCAACCAGGTGGTATCCCGTCGGACCCGGCCGCAGCAGAAACGGCGTTCGTCCGCCCTCTAACAGCCAGATTTCGTCCCCGACTTTGATGTCCCGGGGCCCGAGGCCTAGATAGCCCTTTAGACTCAGATATGGTGCCCGGCCCGGCAGTGTTTTGGACACCCTGTGAAACAAATCTGCCGTTGACGTATAAAGCGACTGGGAATTCAACCTCTCGGCATCTGTCAGATCATCTTGGGCCGCAAGGATCCAGCTGCCCCCGGCTGCCATCAGCCGTAGTTTGTGCATCACCCTGAGCAGCTTCTTCTTGCCCGTCTCAGTCAGTTTCTCCATCCTCCGACGCACAAGGTAGACCCAGAGCCCGCGGAATGCTTCTGCGTATGTCAGCGGGCCGTCTAGCACGAATGAATCTGCCACCATGGTGAAGCAGAGGGCCTCATGTGCTGGCTGACCCGTGGCTCCATATGTCTCGCCCATTTCCAGGCATTTCAGTAAGAGCCATTCAACTGGTGTCTCGGCGGACAAGACAATGTCCAAGGGGAACTCGGCCCCTCGGTCTTGGATGACATCCAGCCGCATGCCAGACAACACGAGATACTTGTCGTCAAACTCGACGAATTTGTCCGCCGTGCCAACACGAGCCCGGGTCCGTGCCGCGTCAAAGTCTGCAGCCCTGTTGTCGCGAACCCGACGATAGAAGGGAATCGCGATAGGCGGCTGAGAATAGTCGGGCACCCATGAAGGCAGGCCTGCCCAATCGCCATGCCATGTTGTCTCGCCCACGTCACTGAGAACGTCTAGTGTTGGTATCCCCTTCAGTATGCTCTTGGTGAACTGGAAATATACCTTTTCCTCTGGCATGGCGTAATTGGGCGACCCGTATGTCTTGCCCGTCGGCAGCGCCAGCTTCGTGAGCGCCATCCATCCGTAAACTGCGTCCCTTCTGTCGTTGAAATGCCTGCCCCGTAGCATGCGCATTATAGAAAAGATGTGACAGTAGATTTGTTCCTGACCATCTCGTAAAGGACCAAATCGCTGCACGATATCTACTCGCCGAGCCTCGGGTGTGCCATGCACCCACAACTCTCGGATAAGACCGTACACTTTCATCTCATCAATGACACCTAACATCCGCTGGAACGTATTCTTCAGCATCTTTGTCCTAAAAATAAAACCGTTGAAGCATTGGCGCGCCGCTGGGGCAGAGGCAATCATGAATCGTTCCAGAGTGGCCCAGTCAAACGAGAGCCGTCCGCATGCCAACTCAGCGTTTGGGCTAAGCAAAATTTCCTGAATCCAACCATGCCGGTAGAATATCTCGTGTCTCGCAATGAAGGTGCAAAAGTGTAGTAATTCGTGTTCTCGCCAACGTTGTAAAACCTCATCTCCCTGAGAACGTTTTGTGTCCACGCTATCCTCTGCGACGCTCCAGATCTCGTCAAAGATCCTGCTGACCTCTGATTCTGAATGCTTTGGGAGGAACTCTGCAAATGTCCATACTACGCCCTCCGGAGGTTCGTTGTCAGAGAGCCAGACAACTGTCTTTTCGGAAGCTTTGTAGATGGACCCGAGCTGTGATGCCTGGTTGGTGTGCTCATGATCATCTTCGAGGTTGATGCAAATCGCATCCACCCAAAGGTAGATTTCCTGCTTCTTTGAATCTGTTTTGCTGCCCGGGTCGGTGCGCATCAGGTCTTGAGGGATGTACCTCTGCTGCTGCCACGCCATCTGGAGGAAGTCGACCACACTCTGGTGAACCTTGACATGTCCGCCATTGACTTTAATACTTGCCATATTTTTATCTGGCAATGAAATTGTCGACAAGGTTGACGTGAGATGGTTCGCCCATAAGCCTACCCACGAACTCCCAGAAGACTTGCCTGGTTCGTCCTCGGCGGTCTGCTCAGTCTGAGCGCCTGTGGTGCTGAAATGCTCGCAGCCAATGTCCTTTTGCCACTCTTCGGCAACCTCCTGAAAAACCGACGGACCTCGTGTGTAGGAGAGCACATGGAAAGCCGGCGCATTTTGGATAGTGACGTGCTGGAGTGCGACGCGGAAGCCGCCCTGCGAGGAGTTTGCCGGGTCCGGCACGAGTTGAATGAGGCGAAAAACGCCGTCCCCTTTCAACGGTCTATGGACTGGTATTTTGATTGCGGTCTGGAGGGAATCCCATGCTGTAGCGAACATGTTGACGACGCCTGAATGTTTTGGTGGGTTATCTTCGATTAAGGTAGATGGGAGGAACAAGGCAAGCGATGAATGGATTCAATGTTTCATGGCTGGTTTCTTATTGTTATAGATTGGTCTGTAGGAAGGGGCTGTGTAAGTAGAACACACACATGGATCCGTGGTTACACAGTTTCATTCACGCTATGAACTCTGGCTAGGCCATTTAGAGGTCAAGTAACCAAGAACCGCTGAAAGAGCAGCACATCCAAGCAACAACCAACCCCTTCATCAATTGATACAATCGCTATAAACAAATGAAATTAACCTTGCGTGATAAATTCCATGGGTTTAGATTTTATCAAACGTAAGAAGAAAAAGCCAAAAAGAGGTAGTTTGCAATACCAAAAAGATTAATTCGGAAGGCATCAAGAGACATTTTCTGCTCCCGGCAGGGCTTGAACCTGCGACCCTCGCATCACCAACACTGGGAATGGAAGTATTAGTACGATGCTCTAACCAACTGAGCTACGGAAGCCATCCGAATTGATTTGAAGTAGCGAGATTTACACTCATATAGCCTCATGATTTCTTGATGCGAATACTAGTAGTATCTCTGCCCACCCGAGGCCGAATAGACCTAAGCCATAGGCATGCAGCAAATGGTTTATGGGAGGTATTTGAAGACTTCGTTCACATCGTTCTGCTTTGCCAAATAATCGGTCCACTCGTCGAGCCGAAGCACGAGCGGAGAGTGTGGCCAACAGGAGACTGACCCAAGGATTCGTCGCCGCGCGCACCTCGAACAGTCAAAAGCGTGCCTGGATTTGGGGTTGTCGAAATTCTCATTGGACTCGCTCATCTAAGAGGGCCTAAGAGAAAAACCCCTGCGTAGTTCGACGTAAAAAATGTCAACATCTTTAGTATAGAAGTGGTGGTTAATAGTTCTGCAATAGCCTGCCTATGCTTACAACTAAGCGCTGAAAGGGTTGATGAATAGTAAGAAAACTCGAATTTGCTTTAATTCGCGTACATCGGACCCTCTTCGGAGACAACATACTAACATCGGGGAGTTCATCAACTTCCCCGCTTCCCATCAGCCCAGCCATCCCTTGTGGCGAGGTTATCGACGCGTGAGAGGAGTTTTCCGTCTTCTCATTCATCAGCTATTTTGAGTACTAGGCAGTTTTGCCATGTGGAACTACCAACTATGGCATTCTAGTCACGTAATTGGTGTCACGACTAGTCTTGGTTTCTCGGCTTCTTTCTTTTCCATTGTCTATGTCGAGATCATCTAGCTCCGATACTCCCTCCCATCCCATAATGCAACAACTCAAACCCAAAGCTTTCTTACCATCGTCGGGTCTTCCATAGTGAATTCGCCAAGCTTCTGAACAGCACCAAAGATGAGGCAGAATGATGTGACGTAAAAAAAGGTATGTACTCGGGAACAAGGCTCGAGGATCGTGCGACTGGCTGCCCATAAACCGTTCTCATTCTCATTGCAATTCCTAGTTCCTAATCTCCCACAGGCGAATCTTGCCCGTATCGTTGCCCACCGCCAACAAATCGCTCTGTCGCCCAAACGCCACCGCCGAGATCCTGCCCAGCGGCGTTTGCTCCGTGGGCCAGTTGCGGTACACGGTGCAGGTGGGCAGGTGGATGAGCCGCAGCGCGTCCTTCTTGTGCTGGCTGCCAAAGGCCATGAGCTGGCCGTCGGGCGAGAAGGTGATGTGCGTGATGGGCGTGACAAGCTGCTCGAAAACGCGCGTCGGTGTCGGCCGCTCCTTGATCACCAGCTCGTCGCTTTTGGGCTCGATGAGCTCGCTGCGGTCGTAGATGTTGGTGATGCCGGTGTTGGAGCCGATGGCGACCCAGCGGTCTTCGCCGAGAGTACTAGGACCTTGGTGACCACCTACGGCGATGACGATGCCTCCAACGCAGCCCTCATCGTTCCAGACGCCAACAAACGAGCGGCTCTCCATGCTATACTCGCCCACTTGGCCATCCCTGCCGAGGATCGTCATTCCATCTCCCGTGCTCCACCACGCAAAGTCGGCGATGCCGTTTCTGCTGGAGAGTCGTGCGGCCGCGATCCACTGCATCGAAGCAGTGTTCAGCACGTTGATAATACCACCGCCCTTTTTCGTAGATGCCACAATAGCCATGTATCTTCCGCAGGGGCTCAGCTTGAACCGCTCCATGGTCTTGTGCTCGAGGCGGTGGCCGAGAATCTGTGTCGTCTTCTGCACCGTTCCCGACTGGAGATCCCAGTGATGGAAGTACTTGCGACGTCCGGCAAAGAAGACCTTGTCGCCCTTGGGATACATGAACTCGGCCCTTCGGACGTCCACCTGCTTAACTTGGACGGACGTCAGCTGGGGGTTCGGCGTCGGGTGCGCGGCCGGCGCGATGTGATGGAGGTAGAGCACTGAGGCGGTGCTGGAGGAGAGGAGGACGGGGTATTCGGGGTGGAAGGACAGGGTCGTGACGGGCGCCTTGTGCCTATCTGGGATCTCTCTCGTTCGCTGGATGTCGATAACCTCGGGTCGTAGTCGTCGCTTCGTGGTTGACCCCACTCCCGCCAATCGGTTGACATCGCGGAGGAACTGCTCGAGGGGTTGGGCAGAGATGTCAGAGTCCGAGTCGTTGCCGGAGTCATCTGAGGAATCAGTGGCTGCAGAAGACCTTCTCCGTCTCTTACTAGGGCGACCGTCCGCATCTCGTGCCCACGCCGGTAGGGGGTTCAGTTGAAGATACTGTTTGCGCAGCCTCCTGCTGTACTCTGTGCCGCTGACCAGGTCCTCCGCCTCGGTGATCCTCAGTTTCCGTAGCCGGGTGACGCCGGCGAGAGAAATTGCCAGCCTGTCGTCATCGCTATCCTCCCAGGCAGGCGCATTTCCATCCTCGGCCGTGGCCGCCTTTGGAACCTGAACAGAGGCACCGGCGCTGGTGTCGATCATGAAGAGGTCCGCATCTTCAACCTCCTCGAGCCCAGCGTTGTCTTGCTCGACCAGCTGCAACTCTTTGCCGTCGGCGCCTCGGCTGGTGTCGAAGAGACCGTCATCCTGGAACAATTGCGCCCGGAAGCTTGCCTTGTTGCCCAAGACCAAGCGCTCTAGTTCTTCTTCGTCAGAGTCCTTGTCATACAGAGCGATAGTCGGGTTCCTCTTGGTGTTGTAGTCTTCTGACTCGGCCTCGGAGTCCTCAATCTCCGAGGATGATCGATCCGACATGTCTTCGTCTTGTGGGAGCGCCATTTTGGGTTGGTGTGTGGTTGCGGGCGGAGAGTGAAGAGATTCTGGGTGAAATTTACGTCGGCTGGGAATTTTTTTGGAGGGTTACCGCAGCCTTGCATTGGTGAGCGATTGTGATAGGCCCTTGCTATCAGTGGAGTGGTGGGGTCCCAGCCAATCACATGTATTACTGACGGAAAGGCTGATACAACCCTAACCCTGGAAATACTGTTCACCATTTGGGTATCTTTTCTTGACAACCTACTATCTCAAGGCCGCCGCTGCAGCTAATTCCTTCTCAAGTCTATTTAGGTCAGGGCTCACGGCTTGGTGTGACTTCAGGGTAAACACAGCAGCCTTCTGCGCTACATCGATCAAGTTCTCAACCTTGCCGCCCTGTGCCAAACCCGAGATCAGAACACCAAAGAAGGTGTCACCAACGCCATTCACGGACACCACGTTCTCAACCCTCTCTGCGGAAGGGAATAATCGCATGTAGACGCCACCAAGCGTTGGGTGATCGAGCGGTGAGCGTGCAAGGATGAACTCGTCTGAATCTCGATCCTTGAGGCGAGGGTCGTCACGGCCCAGGATGCTCGTCAAGAGAACACCTTGGGGACCAAGCTTCGTGACAATAGTGGGGATGTATGGTAGCAACTGCATCGACTGAATGGGCACGCCGGCATCAGTCAACTCCATAGAGGTAAGCTTTACAAAGCGGTCTCTGGCACCAGCTCTAATGTTAAACGCATCGATGATGTCGAACCACTCTGGAGCCTCGAAATACCCATTTTCACTGGCTGCCGAGTACATAGCAGCTAGCTCGTAGCTGTTTGGCGAAGCAATGTCAACGGTGGGCTCCGGAAATACCCGCAGCTGGGGATGGCCCTTTTGGGGGCAAAATAGGTTCATCGACTTTGCCGTTGAGACAGGCTCGAATGCGGCCTTGCAGCCATGGTCTTGTCCAGCCTTCAACCATGCCCGAATATCTGTCTCGCTCCAGTTGCCGTCCACAACCAGCCACTTGGGCTTGGTTCCCGCTACAGCAGACTTCCAGTATTCCGGGAAGGAATGGTGGGAAAAGATGCCCATGTCGGCCATGGCCATGACGAGGTTCTTGTTGGCATCGTTGACGGCGACATATTGAGCCGTGCGATTCGCAGTGTGGTACTCATGGCCGAGCTGTCGGATGTAGGTCGTGTCTAACCCCACGGCCTTGAGTCCGTTGAGAACCGTGGTGCCGGCCCTGTAACCGCTATTTTTAGTCGCGCAATCCAGTTCTTCAATCGGCAGCACTTACACGTCATCCCCCACCATGCTACACAACCTAACACGTGCCTGTTGACTGACCACATGAGCAGCAAGGGCGACGTTGTGGCCGACTCCGCCGATGGACTGGCTGATACATGAAGGGTTTGAGGTATGGAGCGTGGGTGAAACGTCACCTGACTTGGGGGTAGAATAGTCACAGCTCAGGTCAATGGCTACGGAGCCGGCAACGAGGATGTCGGCCTTGCTCTGGATCTCTGGAGGTGCATCGGCTTCCTCAGGCTGGCTCGGGGCGTTTTTAATGGGTAACACGGGGTATGCATTGCTATGCTACAATTAGATTTACCTCGGAACCAGGCACCGTCGCACTTACGAAATGGTTGTCGGCTCTGCATCTGACAACTGTAACCGCGACAACTCGACGGCGATGGTAGTAGCTCGGGTGATGTTTGCCGTCACCAGGGCCTTGTTTGCGACAACTGCCTTGTCGCCCGTGATTTGCTTCAGTCTATTCAGGATATAGGGGGTGTTGGCACTGCCGGTGAACCCCTTTTCGTTGGCCTCGCTCACAGCCAACTCGATGGCTGCCTGCATCTCGGCGGCAGGAATTCCAAACTCCTCCGGGATTGGGTTCGCAAACAGCAAGCCAGACTCGATACCGAGTTTCTCTTGGGCCAAGATAATGGCGGCGGCCTCCTTTTCGGTGTTGACGACCGACGGGCTCTTGACGCCGCTGTCCCGCGCCCAGAAGGCGGGGAAGTCAACTTTGCCAGACCTTCCATCAGCAAACGTCGACACATGGCAGCCCTGGGTCTCGAGAAACTCGAGAGTACGCGGGATGTCAAGGAATCCCTTGCATCCACTACTAATGACAGCAACTCGGGTGCGCCCCAGCTCGGTGAGATCGGCTGAGACATCCATGGAGTCTTCTCCTCCACGGTGAACGCCTCCCAAACCACCGGTGCCAAAGACGCGGATTCCAGCTAGCCTTGCTAGCAGCATCGTACCTGAAATGGTTGTGCCTCCATGTATC